AAGTGCCAGTGTTGATGTCAAAAAGTAATTGCAACGTACTGGAGAAGATGTGCAATGTCACAAAAATATGTATACTATCAGCCCCCACAGTAGGAGGAAGCCTAATACCTGTTCATTTGCAGTAGGAGGAAGTCCACCAACATAAACTCGCCGAGCATGTCTGGTAGCCTGATAAAACATCGTTCGAGGATATACTCAAGGTAAAAAAAGAAGCCATTAGAGAGAGAGAGAGAGACAATAGGAAGTGTCCAACAAATTATAAACCTGCTGTGTCATTGCCTGGACTGGCATCATCGGGAGAGCTCCAAACTGAGAGAAGCCACAAAACAAATAAATGAGAATCTCAATATATCATTGGAAATTTATTAAGAAGGGTCCATGACAATACCTGGCTTGATGCTAAAGGAAACATGTTAGAAAACAGTCCAGGAATTGCTGGGTTAGTCCCAGGAACTTGACCTGCACAGATGAATGAAATAGCATCTTATAAAATGAAAATAAGTATACACTTCAAATTCTAAGAGCAAGTGAATATTTATACATAATATTTTTCTTCTTTCAATGTTGTTGAAAAAATAAGACTTTGTAATCAAATCGAAATAAAACAATTGAAGGGATGGAGATTTTTACAGTGTATTCATTACTAGGGAATATAATTGTAAACTACCAAGATAGCAATTCCTTGTTGAAGATGAACAAGACCTGTATCGATTCTTCCTTGTACATATAAGCTACAGAAGTCGGCTCACGCCCATTGTCAGCACAGTGGGGCAAGTAGCCCAACATTGCCTTCTTAGAACATAAGACAATACAAAACAAACAAACAAACACCAAACACAACAAGAAACCAAAACACTCTCAGTCTCGGAATTATTTCACCAAGTAAAAAGTAAGGAAAACCAAAAGAGCTAATCTATACCAGAACTCTCTACCGATATAGGTGGAAGAACCAAAAAGCTTACCAAAATGTAACCATGCATTTTGATACGAACTTCCACACTATGTCCAAGAAAAAACATGACAGATTTCAAGATACTTTTAATAGTAAGAAAACTGATGGGACGTGTACCTGCAGCATCAGTAGCCCCTGGTAACAACGCAGTGTTAGGAGGTGCCATATCAAAACCACTGATCCTTTTGCTGAAAAGACACATCGTTAGTACCAGTAGCAAAGTCATAAATTGGTAGCAAATTTTAACTTTCGATGATCTATATGGATGTTAGCAGCTCACTGGGACATATGTAACACCAGAAAGGTTTCAACCAGATAAACATATGAAATAGAAGGGCATGACTAAAAATCAAAAGGAGAAATAGACGCTCGTAAAAGAAATACAATACAAGGGGCAAGACCGAGAAATCACAAGCATTAAAAAGGACAAACAGTCCGTATCGAATACATTTTCAGTAAAAAGAGTGAGAATATCAAAGTCATAATAGCAGCTTTAACCTTTTGCAATAACAAAGATTTTCTGTAGCCAAATACCAAATCACCAACTCACAAGGCCAAATAACAAAATTTTCAAGTACTGTCTTTAATCCAGTTCCATCTATAACTCTAGCACTCATTTTTCCCTTTCCAATTTGACAGATCAAAGAGTACAATGACCAGTCTCACCAGCATTCCCGCAAATAACTATTTACTTCATGTAAAGGAAAAGCCTAACGTAACCAAAATGTCAAGACAGAAAACATTCATAAAGGAGCATTAGGACTTCAAAATTAACAAAAATATAATATCTCAATGCTCCGATAAGAAGATATAGAAGCAGCCGTAAACCTCTTGGATGGCGACCGTGATCGAGATTTTGATCTATGCTCAGATCTACCCCTTGAGCTAGGCCTATGTCTACGTCGATCCTCTCTATCTTTGTCATTGTCTCTTCGCCTGCAAGGACGAATGAACAATCACATCAAGATACAGGAAAACTCGGAGATTTGGTAGAATATTAAATCAAAAAGCACCAATCGCATGAATCTCATATGAAGCTCAGGCTAAAGTATACAGAGTATAGCAAACAATGACATGAAAACCAACAGAATTTGAAGTTAAAAATCAAAGGAAATGATTCTCAAAATATAAATATCACTAATACCATCACACAAAAAAAAAAACTGAAAGTATACAATATTAATCCAACTAACAGAACTTACCTATCATAATCTCGATTTCGATGAAGATCATCTTCATCTCTATCTCTGGTCCTCTCCCTCTCCCTCCTATCACTCCGATCCCTATGACGATCTCTGTGATGACGATCACGGTCCTTCTCCCCATCTCTGTCCCTATGCCTATCTTTGTCCCTTTCCTTCACTCTGTCCCTGTCTCTATCTCTATTCCTATCCCTGTCCTTATCACGCCCTTTGTCCCTCTCCTTATCCCTGCTTCTTGATGAGTCCCTTTCATTCTCATGGTCACGAGAAATATGCTGCAAGAGGCAAATGGTAGCAGAAAAGGTTAGCGTGTGATGAAATATACAAATTTTACATATTGAAACAAAATCTTAGATTTTTATGACATAAAAGAACAAATCTAAGGATGGGAAACCATAATAATCTAATACTTGAAACTGAACAATTTGAAAACTTTAGAGCACTAGAAGCCCATATTAATAATTTGAGAAAAAAAAAATGAATCAGGAAAAATAGTTCAGATACCCAACATCCAACATGTTACTTACAGTATAACTACTCCCGTATCCCTGTTAAATAACTCTATCACTATTCAAAGGGCCGTTTTTCAAACATTTCCAAATACTTTAGATCATTTAGATGGTGACTTACATTACTTTTGTGTAATTTCTAAGGATGTAATTTCAGTTCAAAACATTAAGGAATGAACAACAAAATTGGAAATATTGAGTGCTATCATAAAGCTTTGGTATTGGCTAAGTCACAACTTGGGGATTATCAGGACCGCCATAGAGTGTAATTCTCTAACGATGTAATTTTAATTCCAAAAAAACTCTGATTTTACACCAAAAAGTTGATGTTTTTATACTCATGTTTTCAAAGTTATCGACCATCAAACAATCAAAAAATATATTAGTAGCCCTTAACACCTCTGTGGATTAATTCATCACCATTACAAGTTCAAATCCAATATAAAAAATAAAAGCTTTAAATTGATCCAATAGAAATAGAGAGAGTACCTGACTGTAAGGAGAGGCGCCATTATTGTCTATATCTACTCCATTGCCTTCATAGTCCTGCATCGTTACACTCTAATTTTTACTTGCTTTCTCTTCTTCGCCTTGAGAAAAAGCAACACAAAACTAGGGCTAGAAAAGGGTTTCACCCGTTCACCGTTTCTGTAATTGGGAATAGTCGTCCAATTGGGATTTTCGTAAAGGGTATAATTGTATATCCACTTTACCGAATTGGGATTTTGATTTTTGCTTAAAAGAAAATCAAATTTATTAATGTTTTTGATCACCAGGTCAAAAAGAATTTTGTGCGCTAAAAACTAAAAAAATTTATGTCCGAATTCAATAAAGAAGAAGAAGAATAAGATTAACTGTACTTCCTTACCACTTTCTTCATTTTCAAATATTATACAGTTTCAAATATTTACGGCCAGAAACTTTTAATCTTAAAAACACCTTTAGTGCAAAGAAGAAATTTTTGGAGATAGTGAACACTTGAACCATTGGGTAATCAAGTTAATGGGTACTTATAAAGTTATAAAATATGTATTTTGATTTTGTCGGTTTGGTTCTAATATTTTTCCCCAATTTTTTTTTAAAATCAAAGCAAACAAAATATTATTATGTATTAATAATTTAATATCAAGTCAATCCAAACCAAAAAGAAAGATCAATGTATACATAATATGTAAGTGCATAAGAAAAACTAATGTTTACGACACAAATCATTAATCCTTTTTTGAAGTTTTAGTAATGATTGTACAATAAAATAAGGAGGTTTTTAAAAAATATTATATACTGAAATAAAAATAAACGCTTCGCTTACTTGGAATAATTTTGAATTAGAGTTTTGAATTTCTACACCAAGCAAAATGGTTGTAAATGCAAGGGGTATTATTATTCTTAGCCTACGCCAGAAACTATTTACATTTGATAGTCAAAAAAGCGTATAAAAAATATATTTTTTTTGACTATTATTTTGAGAGCGGCTATATAATAAATGCAACTTGCAAAGTCTCAATACGTCTCAATAATTATAAATAGAGAGGTTTAATAACTTCAGGTTAGTAATAACTTTGCAAATGCTGCTTCTCTTTGAAAATTTATTTTACCACAAAGTTCTTGTAGGACGGAAAATGGATTTTAAAATATTAAACCAACTCTTTAGCATATGGCATGTAAAACTTATTGCGAAACTCATAATATCCAGCTCAAACAGTGTCTGCTATGTGAACAGAGTAGAAAAGTTGGACTAATATTTTAGTAAGCAATTGTAACACGTACCATACCAATGGTATGAAAATGAAAATTCCGTGGATTCTGCAAAATAAATAAGTTACAACATCTAATACATAACAAGTTGGTAGATCGGACCATTTAGTCGTCCTAACTACTGTATCTTTGTATGTTTTTATTGAACTTTCTCCTTATCATCATTGGCTTAATTAATTTTACCCACATTATTTGAGTCGAGACTGAAATTGCAGAACCGTAACAAAGACGAATATAATACAAAGGTTTTCTTTGTCCCCACCCCAATACCCGTTTTAGGGCCCGATTAAATCTAAATTCATGCTAAAAAGATCCTACATTGGGAGTAGAGCGCTCAAAGACGACTCTATACCAAGACTTACAACAAAAACTTACCAGTCCACCACAACCTTGGTAATCTAATACAAAAGTTAACATAACAACGAGAAATTTTCAATTGGCTATGCAGTTGCAAAAGCAAACCCGTAATTTTCGTTTGCATGCGCTTGCTATTCCATATTGTTAGGTTCTAAAATAATCCTGATCTTCACGATAATAAACAAATAAAAGAGCCACATCAATCACGCACAAAATTAGTAGTCAGGATAAATTGGCAGTCTTACCATTCAAAATAAGTCTCTTCATATTTTGAGTCACCCCTTAAGAGAAGCTCATGTAACATATATACAAACATGGATGCTCATAGATCTACTTGCATCTCTTTTATCTACTAGTCCTGTTGACTACCTACAAGTCCTGTTGCAGATTTTTGACAACTGCACAGAGCCCTGGTAGTGGTGAGTGATAAGAAAACAAGTAGAAACATCTGAAGCAGGCACAATGAAAGATCCTATTCTCAACACAAAAGAGGCACAAATGCCCTGGTAGCGTGATCTATTTTAAATCTTGTCAATGATATGTATCAATGTATAAATGCAGTAGGCGATCATAAAACTAGCACCAACTTACTACTCCAGTGAGGAAGAGTTTGATTAAATGGAAGATCTACATCCTGGCCAACATCTTTCTGATATGGCGGTATATCCTAAACTTACTTGAAGAGGAGCTACATATAGCTGCAATGCAAAGCGCTTCCCACCAACAGCTCAATCATATACTCTAAAACATCGTATGACACAAAACTAAACAATTATACTTCTTAAGAGTAAAGGGAAACGTCCAATTTTCAGCTTTCTCATCATTGAGAATTTCCAACTACTAACATGTATTTCGGGTGACCTGTACAACTTGAATTAAAAACCGCGGACTATGATGAACTGCCATCACCACTTCTCAAAACCCATGCTGAATTTTTTGATTCACATAATTCCTGCATAACCTGTAGAGACAGAAAAATATTTAGCATCCCGGCAAGTCAACAAAAGCTTTTCTATAATCTAACACGGATAGGACAAAAGCTTGTATTGCAATCTGACGGACTGACAACATTTCACACTACCATCGAAGTAGCTCATTCACAATACAAAATTCAAAGCAACTTGAAGGATCCTAGACCACAACAATGCAGTATCTCAATAGTATCACTTAACATGGAATTTGGTAACTGTTACATTTTATATCCTATCACTGATGTTGATTGTTAAGCCTAAGAAGAGAAGGAGAAATACCAAAAGGAGGGAAAATGGAAATAAATGGGGTAAGAGGATCAGAAACAGGATACTGTAAACATCTTTCGTACATCTGTTTGTGCTGGAATACATTGACTTCGTGTAATAGCATGTAGGTTCAAGCTCATTTGAAGCCCAATAACCGTCATAGATCAAGTCGGTCAGCATATGCGCAGGATCATGGCAGCATTACCACAGTATTGCTAAGATCCAAATTACATATAAGAAGTGCAAAATAAGAACCCTGACAGCAGTCCAGTAAAAAAACCTAAAGCCCAAGATACAAACTTTCCCACGTCATAGAAGAGAACAAAAATGGATCCTGCCAAATGTTAATGTTAGCTTTGCAGTTTTTGTTTCTTCTGCACTAATATTTCTTTTGTTGTTTTTGTTTCTTCTGTATGGATAATTGTAAAATTTACAGAACTACTACTTTTAGAGAACCCTTAATTCACCTTTGGAGTGAAACATCCAAATGATTCATACAAACAACCCAGCCTAGTTTGGGTTTAAGCACATTTAATTGATAGTGTTGGTATAAAAGGGAGAACTCTTGATTATATCATAAAGCATAAAGAGGATGGAAGAGGGAGATACACATGAAACACAATAGTAATATTCTCAAAGACTCCACTCTTACATAACAACACTACAAGGGGTGCTTTTATTGGTGTCAAGAGACATTCTAAGACTCATACCTAACAAATGATTTCACAAACACTATGAACTCAACCACAATAATGCAAAGTCATACCTAGATAATTTTAAAGGTTATGCACCTAGTGTTAGCCCCTTGACAATGATCCTCGGCAGGTGTGGGTTGTGACAAGTATTTTCATGATGAACTTGGCACACAACCTGAAAATTGGGGCAACATCATGACGGGCAGCTCGGCATGACGGACTATGCGGGGCTTGACAAACGCACCTTGAACGGAAGCAAGGCGCATTTCACTTAGACGTGCGAGTTGGCAGTTGCAACCTCTCCCAAGACATGCTGATCATGGCCTTAAAATGTGCCCACGTTTTTGTACATTGTCCTAACATGTTTGCCCATCAGTTAGGGCTTGTCAACTGATTGTAGCCTATAAATAAGTGCCTAGTTTGTCTAAAAACGGGCAGAACTTAGTCTAAGGCATTGTATTAGCCAAAATTCGTCTAAGTCATTTCCTAAGGGTGGGAAAATCATTTTGGGCAGGGAATTAGCGAATTCTTTGTCTTGGCCATAGGGTTGGCTATTGTGTTCTTGTATTCACATATTAATACGAGTTGGGAAGAAATTCTTGTATATCGTGTGTGCCTTTTACTGTTTTTGCTGCCTATTTTCATTCTAAGTTTCAAACGTCCCTAAAATAAAACTAAGTGTTGGAGAGGCTGAAGTCAAGGCTGGGCTTGACTGCCGCACGGAGGTGAACCTCGGGCAGGAATTCGAGTGACATAAATCACCCCTGTGACACCTAAGATACCTAAAAACACATAAATCTAGAGCTTAAACATTTAAGTTTACTATTTTCAACATCCCCTTAAACTTAAATGTCCTTTCCTACTCTTCATTTACTCTGGGTAATTTCAGCATCATTTTCAACATCCTCTTTTTTTTTTTTTATGAAATAAGATTCTTCATTGCAGGCATCCAGAAGATGCAAAGTTACAAGAAGGGATTGAGTTAGCTCCATTACAACAAAAGACTTAATCTGCTTAGGGAGCTAACTCAAAAAAAACAAAAGTAAGGAAATAACTGAGTTAAGCTAGACTCATAGATCCAATGAAATCTAAAGAGGAATTACATTATTTACAGGTGTTAGAGAACTCCAACTAAATAGTTGCACAAGGCATTTGGCTTTGAGAGCATGCATAGAAGTTGAAATGCCATCAAAGCATCTGCGATTTCTTTCTTGCCAGAGGCACCAGAAAATGCATGCTGGGATCATCTTCCAGACTTTCTTGATGGCCCTTTCAACTTTCCAACTGCTCCAACCTTCCACTGCTTCCCTGATGCNGTTGTGTCCAGCTTATTCCCGGGATAGAAGAACATATACCACATGTCTGTTGCCACTGGACAATGTAAGAATAGGTGGTTGATTGACTCAGAACTTTGCTGACATAGGTAGCATCTATTTACTAGCTAGAAGCTCCTTTTGCAAAGATTGTCTTGAGTTAGGCAGGCTTCTTTGAGTACAGTCCAAGTAAAGCAGATAACCTTTGTTGGAAGCTTTATCTTCCAGATGAGCTTCCATGGCCATGAGTCGATGATTCCATTATGCTCACACATGCTTCTGTAGCCCATCTTCACTGAATATGGACTTGAGTCACAACCAACCCATCTGATTCTATCAGGGATCTGCTCATTCATAGTGAAGCTTCCCAGTCTACCAAGCAATGTAAACAAACTACCCAACTCCCAGTCATGCATATTCCTTCTGAAAAGTGGGACCCATGAGTTTCCTGATCTATATTGACTTATTGTAGAGTTGGGATCACTAGCAATCTGATATCTTTCCAGAATCTAACATGTAACCCATTACCCACCTTGAATGAAATATTCTGTGAAAAATCCTCCCAAAGGCTACTGATGTATTTCCATGGGCCAACACCATGAGGAGACCTACTTAGTTTAGTACACCAGTGGCTTTGTTGTCCATGTCTAGCAGTCACCACCTTCTTCCATAGGCTGGTGTCTTCCTCCCCAAATCTCCCAAGCCATTTCATTAGCATGCTCTTGTTGTGTCTTGCCAAGTCTTTTATTCCAAGTCCACCAAGGTCCTTTGGTTGAGTTACTTTGGCCCATTTGACCAGGTGAAACTTGTGACCCTCACTGTTCCCCTTCCAAAGAAAGTTCCTTCTAAGTTTGTCCAATTGTTTGAGTACTTTGCTGGGCATATGATATAGTGACATGTAATAGGTTGGTATGCTGTCCATTACACTACTAATCAAGGTTACCCTGCCTCCCATTGATAGATATTACAGCTGCCATGTTGCCAATCTCTTCTCCACCTTCTCTATCACACCATTCCATACTGCAGTAGACTTGTACTTAGCTCCCAATGGAAGGCCCAGGTATGTTGCAGGGAGGGAACCAGTTCCACAACAAAGAATATCAGCTAGATCTCCCAAGTCAGGAACTTCATTAACAGGGTAGATTATGCTTTTTGCCATGTTGATATGTAGTCCAGACATAGCTTCAAAAATGAGCAGAATTAGATTAAGATATTGAACCTGAGATATTCCAGCTCTACAGAAAACTAATGTGTCATCTGCATAGAGCAGGTGTGAGATTGAGACTGCATTCCTTTGATGTCTCCCAACACTAAAACCATCTAACCACTGCAGCTGCTTTGCTTTGACCAACATCTTGCTAAGACCCTCCATAGCTAGGATAAACAAGAAAGGAGATAAAGGATCACCCTGCCTTAATCCTTTTTGAGGTGAAAAGAAGCCAACTGGACTCCCGTTGATGAGAATCGAATACTTGACTGTGGTCAAGCTATATTTGATCCACCTGATCCATTTGCCACCAAATCCCATTTTCCTTAACATTGAAAACATGTATGACCAATTGACTTAGTCAAATGCTTTCTCAATGTCGAGTTTGCATAGGATGCCTGGAATTTCACTTTTTAGCCTTTCATCCAACATCTCATTGGCAATCAAAGATGCATCAGTAATCTGCCTTTGTTTGATGAAGGCATTTTGATTCTCTGAAATGTGCTTCCCAATCACTGATTTGAGTCTCTCAGCTAATAACTTAGCTGTTATCTTGTAGATGCTGCCTATGAGGCTTATAGGCCTGAAATCTTTGAGCTCAATAGCACTCTTCCTCTTAGGAACCAGTGCTATGAAAGAGGCATTACAGGATCTAACCATATAACAATTTTAATGAAAGTGGTTTAAAGCCCCCATGATGTCTTGCTTTAGAACATCCCAAGCTTTCTGGAAAAAAGCCATAGTGTAACCATCTGGGCCTGGGGCTTTGTCCGGTGCACATGCCCAGATTGTTGCTACTACTTCCTCTTCTTCAAACACCCTTTCCAACCAGTCTTTCTCCTCTGTAGAGATGCATGCTAGATTATCAAAATTGGTAGTAGGTCTCCATTGCTCATTCTCTGTGTATAGCCCCTGATAGAATCTTAGGATTTCCTCTTTAATGACCCTTTTGTCCCCTGTAATTTCTTCTCCAACCTTTAGTTTGTCTATATTATTTGATCTTCTGTGAGAGTTAGCCATTCTTTGGAAATATCTGGTATTCTTGTCTCCTTCTTTGAGCCATAGGCACCTAGATTTCTGCCTCCAAGATACCTCTTCTTCAACTGCTACTTGTTGCAATTCCATTTTGAGCCTTATCATCTTTTCTTTTTCAGCTGGAGTTTGCAGTCTACCTTCAGTTTGTTGTTCCATCATGGTCAGCTCCTCCAGAGCCTTATTTTTTCTTGTTTCCAGCTTACCAAACTCCATTTTGTTCCAGTCAGAAATATCTTTCTTTAGACATCTTAATTTTTGCATTACTATGAAGTCTGGCCTACCCCCAACATCATAACTTTGCCACCAAGCTTTAACCTTATCTAAAAAACCCTCCACCTGGAGCCACATATTTTCAAACTTGAAGTAAGAGGGGTTGGCTTCCCAGTCACCACATTCTAAGAGTAATGGGTTGTGATCAGAGATTACCCTTGGAAGGGCAAGTTGCTTCATAGCCCCAAAGCTGTCACTCCACTCGTTAGAGACTAAAAATCCGTCAATCCTGGAAGCTTGTAGTGAATTCTCACCCCTGGACCAAGTGTAGAAGGCCCCCTGAAGAGGAAGATCAATAATATCAAGGTCCTGAATGATGGCAGAGAAAGATTTCATAGCTTTAGATCTCCTGATGCAGTTGAATCTCTCACTTTCGTATCTACATACATTGAAATCCCCACTATGAGCCATTGCTCATTCTAGATGCCTCTAATCGCTGCGAGTTCATACCAAAACTCCTCTTTCCGAGTTTGTATGGGGCCATAGACCCCTGTAAAGCACCATCTAAACTCATCGTGTGTGCTTTCTAGCATACAAGTTAAAGTGTAGGTGCCCTGTTGAATGCCTAGGACGTTCCACTTCCTTCTGTCCCAAATCATAATAATTCCCCCGCTATAACCAACTGAGTTCAGGACAGCCCATTCTGCCCAACGGCTGCCCCATAATTGTCTAACCAAAGAAACTGACCACTCCTCAATTTTTGTTTCTTGCAAACATATTATATCAGCTTTCCACTTCTGTACTAGAGACTTGATTGTACTTTTCTTTTTCCCATCATTTAACCCATGCACATTCCAACTGAGAATTTTGACTTTCATCCAGAAAAAGCTTTGTAGTACCTGCCCCTATCCCCTTTGCTTCTGCCTTCATAATTAAGTCCACACTTCAGTCTTTCAAGCTCGATTGTCTGCTTCTTTTTGCTTCTCTCTTTGGGATCTAGCACTGATTTTTGCTTTTGTAGTTGTAGACGCCTTTTTTCCTCCATTCGCAATATGATGTCAAAAATTTCATGTTCAAAGCCAGCCACATTTAACCCAAATGCTTTACATGCTTTAGACATCACGGACTTTGTCCACCTTGATGTTTCCACAACCGCAGGATTTTGAATCACTTGCATACCCGAATTGTCCATGCCATACCATGGAAGAGAGAGGAATTCAGAAGAAGAGGAGAAATCTGCCTTCGAAGAGCTTATAATTGATGGTACTGATGTGGGCACCCAAGGGCGAACATGATTGTGGATGGTAGTTGCACGATCTGCTTCGTCATCGGCCTCTGATGTCAACTCACAGGTGGTCGCTTGTTGAGTTGGAGTTCTTCTAGTGGGTTCTGCACAGGCTGTTTGTATTTCCACCGATAGAGGGTCAAACCTGTTTTCAATCAAGAGCCCAATAGACTTGTTGAGGCAAGGATCAGAGATTGGCCCAACAGCCCTCCATACTGATTTATTATTTGCTCTCCTTGCTTTGTTTTTTTGGGCCTTTAAAGTAATAAAGTTGATCCAATTTATGGCCCAAGACCTGCTGCTTTTCTTTACTCTTTTGGGCTTTCACCAAGTGGGCTGGCGAGTTGACCTGGTCAGCAGGTTTTTTGACCACTTTATTTGAATTAAAGTGGCTCAAATCCAAATGCAAAGGCTTAGGTTTGACAGGCTAGACATCAGTAGCCTTTGTTTGGCTCGAGGCAGCTACTGTACTTGACTTCATCTTCTTCACCTCCACTCCAGCTCTCTCTATGCCGCCGCCGGTGACAATTTCTACGAGATTGTCATCCAAAATAGTGATTTTGTACTTCAACTTCCCAACTTCCAGTACCAAATTGTTGGGTAAACCACCTTCCTTAAATTTAACACAAATTCTAGCCCAGAAAAAGTGTGACCTAAGCTTCGTGTCTTCATCAGTGTCAATGAAGCCACCACAATTGTCTCCAATAAACCGAAAGGAATTGGGGTTCCATGCATGCAATGGTATACCAAAAGCCTTTATCCGTTTTTGCTCAGATTTGCTGTTGGTCGGAGCTGCACCATTTTCCGGCGACCACCATTGAAGCATGAGACGCCTGCCATTCCAGAACCACTCACCGGCTATGCTACGCACCGCAAGCCTTGATGGGAACTCAAAGAGAAATTTATTGTGGCCTAATGGTGTAACAATGAGCCCTGCAGTGATCTTCCACCTGTATAGGAACCATTTTTTGATAACTTCTGTTTTGGGGCTGAGATTAAAGGCGTCGTTGAACGTCCCAACCAAGCATTTGGAGAAGAAGTTTTCAACGTCTCTGTTTCCGTCACCCCTGTCATTCTTAGTTTGCTCCTGTGACTCAGTCTGCTGCAATGGCCACTGGATTATTTTTGCTGCATCCAGATATTTCTTGTCCTGCACATCTGCAAAGTTTTGAAATCTAATGTTGATGCTTTTCCCCAGAAATTGTAGAATCCTCCCTGCTATGTCTCCCCAACCCTTGTTGTAATCTATTTTTGGGATAATGATAGCAGACCTTCTATCTCCCAACCATGCTTCCACTCTAACATATCTGCCATAAACATTGTAGTTCTGATAAACTCTGAACAGGTAGGACTGGATCTTCCTCCCCCACCTCCGATAGAGGTTGCCTTGACCCCGTGAGGCTTTCTGTAATGTTTCACAAACCCAGCGCAAGTTCTCTTCATCGATCTTGATTCTGCTAGTGAATCTTGCCCCCCGCTCAATCAAAACAAACCATCTGTCATAATCCTCACTGATGTCAATTAATTCAAAAGATTTATCACCTGAGATAAAATGGATTTTTCCTCCCATGACAAAGGATGTAACTCCGGAGGGGAACCCTGCCGGAGAGAGAATCAAAGAGAGAAAGATAATAACGGCACATTTCCCAAGCCAGAGAGAAAAGTTAGGGAGAACATTTTTTCTTCAACATCTTCTTTGTTTATGCCTTCTAAATTTGCCTTCAAACATTATCCTTGCACGCATCTAGGTAGGTCATCTGGATAAAACTTTTCTCATAATTTCAAATTTTCCATCAAAGCAGAGAAGTTTCAACTATGGGGAATTCAGTCAATCTCCTTCTAACTTTTGGCTATTGCAAATACACTCATGGAAGACTTTTCTCGTCTTTTTTTTCCCGTCTTGTTAAGTCCTTCAAGACTTACACCTTCTCGATGGGTGCTTTATTCTTCAAAAACCCAAAATATTCACTTTTCTCTTTGAAAATTGCCGGCCTCTCAACAGGTCCTCAAATATGGAGAAGCACCTTCTGTTGAATTGCCGAATTTCGCCTTTACACCTACCAGGATCGAACCACCGTTCTGATACTACTTGTTGGAATATAAAGATGGGCCCTTGATAATATCACAAGGCACAAAGAGGAAGGAAGAGGGAGATACAAGGGGTGCTTTTATAGGTGACAAGGGAAACTTCTAGACTCATACCTAATAAATGATTTCACACACACTATGACTTAACCACAATAACATAAAGCCATACTTAGGTAATATAAAAGATCATGCACCTAGGGTAACTAAAAAGACATATAAACCTAGACACTTACACATCAACTATTTTCAATAGGTTGACTAACTGACACTACATCAACTATGATAATAACTGTTCTGATCTTGACTTCAGCCGCCATGTGAAACTCCATACAATAAACTCAAAGAAGACATTCCTTAATTCTCTTGATAAGTAAGAAAAGAACTGCTCACCTTTTTAAACTCAATATCGGTAATATCCCTATTCAGTTGCAACTTGGCAGCTTCAACTATAGAGGCTTTCTTTAGCTTTGCACTCGGCCCTTCAGCCATAAGAAGGTCAATTACAAGTTTCCTGAGAGCCAAAACTATGTATTACCCACGGGCCTAGGTAATTATCAAGTAGTTTTAGTTATAATAGCAATACTTACTAACCTCAATGCGTCATATTGTGGATTATCTGGTGATGACTTCAAAACATAGACACCATGGATGTTTACAGCAACCTGATTAATCACTGCCTGTATCTCCTCGGGAGGTGCATCATCCACAGAATTGGCTGCAGTTATAGCCTTCTTTGCATCTCCCTTTTGAGACTCGGAAACTGCCACATCTCGCAGACGTTGGCGTATTTGCTGGAAACTGGCAAAATTAAACAATGGATTTCCGATCTGTCAGGGGTCACAAATTTAGATGGAGGAAATCGTTTATTTTTTTAAAAAAAAATTAAGAAAGCCATATACAGTTTTTCCTTGAACAGCAAACAACTCTATTAAATCTAAATATCAGACAGGCGAGGCGCACTGGAGAAAAGACGATGGAAAATACGAGTTTTCTTCTATGTTATGATCCATTACCATTCTAGAAAAGTAAAGTAGTATAACATAACAGGAAGACAGCATAAATTTTGTGATGGACAATTTCGACCTAAGTACTTGCACAACTCACCTAAACTAACAAGTCAACATAAACAGGACTTTGAGGGACAATGGATTACCACGGCTCACAGTAAGGTTCTGAGATGATGCCAAAGCAAAGAAAAATGTCCTATAAACTAGACCATCTCATCCTTTTAGAAGTCATATTCAGGATGAAACAATCACCTATTTACACAATCCTTAAGATCCAAAAGATAATATCAAAAGCCATAAAAGGTGCAACAGCTAGCGGAACAAGATTATGAGAGAGATAGAGAGAGAGGGGGGGAGAGAGTGAGTGAGCGAGAAAGGGAGTTCTTGAACCAAACACAAAGGAACCCCAACAGGTGGCAGAAGTTGGAGCAAGGAGCTTCAAGCAGTTCAAAAAAGCCAAGCACGGAAATGATTGTAAAGTTGCAGAGCAATCAAACCAAGGCAACAAACCACCTATTTACAAAGGTTTCTGCATTTTTTCTCAGGCTGTAACAATTTGTGTGACTAAGATGAATACCCAAACTCACTGAATGGTAAACAACAAAGGGCAGAAAAGTTCACAAATCTCAGAGATCTCACCTGCAAGCCTTATAGATTCTAAAAACTTTTTGAAGCGCCTTTGGTAAAGCTTCTCGAGTCTTTTCTGACATAGATGTTCGCAAAAGAGACCCAGGAGCGGGTTTACCACCACCTGGAAGTGCAGGAATGTTGGCATTTGGATTTGAAGGATTCTTCGTAGCAGGCTTGTTTCTTCCTCCTGACAAAATACCACTGATCTGTTTCCCCATGCATTCCCAGGTAGCTTGCTGCTCTTTCACAACATCACCATAAAGAACTTCAAATTTCTTGTCAGGATGCTCTTTGAGCTTCCAATCATTCAGGTCAGGCCTCTCAACAGCTAATGATTTTAGTGTTGGTTTCGCAGCTTTAAGGAAATCCAACCTCCTGGCAAAAACTTTCTGCTTAATAATGGTACTCTTGCTAAACTCAAAGAGAATAAAATTCCTTGCTAAAACTTCAAGTCCATCATTCTTTCCATAGATTAATGAACTTTTTGGAACCCATAATCCTTGAACTAATTGTGCGTATCTTTGGAGGACTCTCAAAATTTCATCAACAGGATCATCCAGCGCCAGGTGCTTTAGAGCATCAAAACGATGAATTGGAGGCCCCTGTTGCCAAAAGAACCCAGATTTAGAAATATGCTGCCTTTATGAGTTATCAGGATCATGAGACCTTGTAAACAAACTTTGTTGCAGGCATAAAAATATACAAGTAGCGCATAATTCAAATAGCGGGCATAAACCTCAAGAAGCCAAGTTCTAATGCGTTCTTCAAGAGGTAATTGAGACAACCTGAAAACCAAACATTTGACAATTTAGAAGTTAGGAGGCATTAAATGACGGGGGAAAATGTTTATTTAAGATAGTTGAGAAATATGGCATTTCAAGAACAGCTATCTACTATTCACATCCCTGGGTAATAAAAAGAAATAGCAAATATCTGGCTAGAGAAAGATAATAGAAGAATTACAAATGGAAGCAATTCAAGTCATGAGCTGCATATTTATGTCAAACTACATTGTCAAGCCCCCAACGAGGTGATTAATTTGCAATTTCAACTTCAGGTATTTGCTAAATAATTGTGGCAATACTAGAGAAGACCAACACCTCACAGCAAAGAAGACAGCTCTATGATCATAAATGCAAATAAAAACTTTGGTGTTGTCCTTAGCAGCACCTCCAAAACCTTTCGATGTCAGAATAATCGACGAGGAGAAGGATCAATTAAAGAAGCTGCAGTACCTTGTTCGAAGAATTTTTAATCTGTCAGTGTCAGTTGGTCTGCCAGGACACACAGCGTTCAGATAATCAATCCTGTGTATCAAATTAACAGAATAGAAAACTGGTATTAGAATAAGAAAGACAGTGGATGAATGTATGCTTTGAGAAAAATGCTTCTTATTAATTGTCCCGAACAGAAGCAGTTTCTCAAGCGGAAAAAATCAACCATATTAGGAGACACATACGGGCTCATTGAAAATGATACTGGAGAGCCTTCCCCCATGGCCATTTCCTGTAGATATCTGGCTGAAATGTCACTCCTAGCTCCATGGTATTTTAGATGTACCCAATGCTAAAACAGGAAATGAAGAAGATACCAATAACTTCTCACAAAGATCTGAATTAACGAAACAATTTGAAATGATATTTGAGACTGGATGGAAAAAGCTAACTGCTCTTGAACAGATTATAAATAGAAACACTACGAACAGAAATGTCAATCCAAATCATAGTAGATGCAAAATCAGCAGCCACTCAAGCTAAAGAACTATGGAGAGTTATTAGCTAATATCGAAAACTTGAAATTTTGTCAGTAAATGGTCACAGGTGTTTATCATACCTCTTCAATATCCTTGACATTCCCAGGTGGTTTGTTCTGCACAAAAGGTATATGTTATAAGAATAAATCGAAGAATGGTAAAGCTTTAAGCAGCATTGAGGGAGGGATAGCCTAGTGGCAAAGATCCTCCACCTCCAACAATAAGGTTGGGGTTAACTTGAGTCACCAAGTGAGCAAAATGGAAAAGCAGGTATTGGGCTCCAGGGTAGGGGTTTGGGTGTGGAGCTCACAATACTAGGAAAAGGCTAGTCTTGAAAGTAGCAGAATGGATAACAAAAGAAGATCAATCTTTAGGGATTGCCTTATCATATTTACCCGAAAATATGGCAAACCAGTCCGGAACCAAATAGTCCTCCAGATAAAATATCTTAAGTGCTAGCCACTAATTTGTACAATAATATCACATGAAGATTAGTCATAAACAAGGTCCATTCAAATTGCTTAGGAGCTGGGCATCAAAGAGCAAATCATGAAATGAACCTGCTTCTTTGATGGACCCGCAGGCTTTTTTTCCTCGACTTCTTTGTTTTCAACAGTTTTTCCATCACTGCTGGTGGCAATGTTCTTCTTCTTCAACTCACTTTCCTTAAGATGCTGCTGTGATGGTCGGAGCTGTACAACTGCATGAATAGGATTGAGGTGTAACTGCATAACAAACAGGAAGCAAGAGCGTAACTACGGAGAGCATTAATAAGCATTAATTTTTTTCCTTTCAACACAGAAATGAGCTTCAAGTTGCTATCAGCAAACTAAGAAATTTTAGTAGAAGTTTCTCATGCTGAAGTGTATAAGAAACAGAAGAATATAACTAAAAGGACTTGACAATTTTCTAATACTAAGTAGCAGATCTTGGGTAAATATGAGAGCCAGAAGCATTACAGCAGTTCCCCACTGTATACTTAAGGTAGTGTCAGATTTGACAGCTGATAATTTGCTTCAACTTGAAGCTGACACAGAATTAACTTGATTAAACTTGAACTTGAAAGAGTAACATTGTTATTGTCCAAATTAGTTTTTGGAAAAGGGCAAAAGCTGGAGATGTATAAGCACATACACAACCTGCGGAAAACTAATTTTCTGTCAATCAGAACTCTATAAAACTAGAAGTTGGAGATGCACATCAACAACAAATGGTTTACCTTATCACCAATGAGGACCCCAACAGCATATCCAGAGGTGCAAGTTGATAATGGCATCCATGATGTAGAAAGGGTCTGAAAATGAGAAATAATCAGATTATTGGTAAAACAATTAGAACTGTAATTTCTGCTAAGGGAACAAATATCAAGTGCAGAGTTTCCAGAATCTAGATGTCAACCTCCTTATCCTTCACCTAACAGCAGAGATGCAACCATGAAGCTGGAAGATATATAATACATGTCCATGAATAGCAAGGACTATGTCCAAAACAAATGGTATTAAACGGAATATAAGGTGGAGCAATGGATAGACACATAATAAGGAAGATCAGATATTAGTGGAAGTCGAGCAGTTTCATGAACATGGAAAGCAAAAAATATATAGAGACCAACATTGAAGGTTAATACATGCAACAACAACAGCAACAACATAGCCATTATAATCCCACAAGTAGGGTCAGGGGAGGTTAGTGTGTACGAAGACCTTACCCATACCTTGTGCAGGTAGAGACGCTGTTTTCCGATAGACCATCGGCTCAAGGTTAACAGATGCATGGAAGCAAATAACGCAGGAAATTAGCTCAAAGAGTTACTCTTTTAATTTAGAGGATAAATGGAACGAACCTGCTTTTCCATCTTTACTGCATGAACAGAGTCTCGGTCAAAATTTTTAGAATCAAAATCTACTGCCAAATCAACCTCCATTTGTGCAGTTGAAGGTCTCAATCTCACCTGCAAATATATAAAATCTGATTCAGACGTCCAAACTGGTCATTTAAAACCAGCATTTTCTATCTAATGATAGATACTACTGATTTATTTTGCGCAAGAAACACGAAAAGCAATTTTTGTAACTCACCTCTTGACATCTTTCCTCCAATTCATAGGGACGCCATACGGGCCTCAACGGATATTGGAACACATATAGCTGACGAAAAAAGAGAAATTAATACTTAGCAAATAGAAAATTTTGCAAATTCAACAAATAAACCAGCTAATTAAATAAAAGATAAATATACCTGAGAGTTAGGATCAGATGAAGGGGTAAAAAACACATCAATTTCACGAACAACTTCGTCTTCAACGCTATCAGTATCCATGGCGACTTGTTCTTCTTCTGCCACGTCGTCTCCCGTAGTGTTCTCATCCAATGGAACGTCATCTTTAACCATTGCGGCTCCATTTTCGGCTGGATGATCTTTTACTGAGGGTTTTGAAACTAATTCTTCCTTTTTAGTTGGAATAGGAGGATCAGAAGATGATAACGGTGTTTCAGGTTTGGGTTTGGTTACTGGTTGGGGTTGGGGCTTCAATTTAGAGCTTTTGGGAGCAAAACGGGATGGCCTAGTTGGAGCTTTACTTGGGCCGTCGAAGTCCAAGTCCATCTCTGCCATGTTCTCCGCCGGAAAAGTGAACTTCAACGCAAGTACGGCAAGTAATCAAAGGTGAGAGAAGGGTTTTAGGGTTTATTAATTGGAGCTGCGGGACCTCTTTTTATCGTTTTCCTGCCATTGTACCTGAGCAACTAATTTGTAAAATATTTTGGAATGTGAAATATTTATGGGATTTTTACATTCATATGGCATATAGAAACCCTCAATGTTTTAATTACACTTAATATACCAAATTACTAATTCTATACCATCTCCCTATTAAGGTCACAATCTTCTCCCTTCTCTCTAGGAAGACCATGAATAGTGATTCCGTCACTATTCATCGGCCATAACTCCGGAATCCGGCAAGGTAAGGTCACAATATTGGTCCCAAAAGAACACCCTTCTCATTGTGAACAATCTCCGTTTGATTTCTTCCTAAATTTTATAATCATTCACAACATTTCTTAAAATTGTTTTTAAGAGCTACTGTAGCATCGAGCTCTCTTTAGCCAATTTCAACGTTTGCTGCCCTTGCAAGTTTCTGCTTATTGTAACGTGAAGTTGGATGATTGAAGATCAACTTGGATGGTTTGTTTTTAAGCGTGATTCACAGGTTTGAAGCTAAAATCAAAACCAGATTTTAAAAAGTTTTTCGGAATTACTGTAGCACCGAATTAGCATAAGCTAATGCATTTCTTGTCATAGTTATTAAGGTGCTAAATAATTCTTTTTGGTGCAAGAGAGTGCTGTCGTGAAAATCTGGGTTGATCTATGTTTTTCAAGATTCCTGAAGGAAAACGTTAGAGTTGATATATCACTGCTCCTTTACGCAGTGTAGCCATGGCCACTATGGTGTCATGATCCAAACCCCGCTCCGGTCGCGATGGCGCCTCTCGTGAAGACTGTCACACCTCCTTTTTTATTTACTACACCCCCGGGGGTATAATAAAGGGAGTTATTTCTAACTTGAAGTGACAATCGGAACGGGATTTATTATTAATATTCAGAGTCGCCACTTGGGAGTTTAATGGTGTCCCAAGTCACCGGTTGAATCCCGAACCGAGGAAATTATGACTCTGTTAATAGTCAGCGAACCAGAAATCCGAGTAAGGAATTCTGTTAACCCGGGAGAAGGTGTTAGGCATTCCCGGGTTCCGTGGTTCTAGCACGGTCGCTCAACTGTTGTATTTGATTTTATCTGATTTCGAAATGTGCTTTTATTAAGAAACCGCTTTCATTTTTATTTATTCGATTTTAAACGAATTGCAACGTCGTGGAAATGCGCCTCAAACCACGTCGCACCAGTGCACCCGTGATTGTTAACACATTTCGACTTCGTTGAGATTTGGATTTGGGTCACATAAATGTGCACCCGTGTTTTAGGAAGGTGATTTTATTTAAAATGCGCGCCTAAAGTAGCTACGCGTTTATTAACTGTGCGGGGAGCCATGAAATTCGCTAAATGGCACATCCCGAAGTCTAAATATTTTGATATAAGCAATTAATGAGGGCCCCGCAATTTGTGTGTTTTATTCGGCGAGGCTCGTCTCGTTTATCATTTATTTTAAAGGGAATCCTAAAGTGGCTATAACCTTTCTATATTGGGTCAGTAAATTTTGGATAAAATTGGGCTTTAGTTTTGGCCCAATGCCATTTTAGTGCTGCTTAATAACGGGAAAGGCTGACTGGACAGAGGCTTCATCCCATGAGAACAAGCCTAGATGGCCCGTCCAGTTCAGCTTATCGAACAGCTCTGGACCACGTTAGAAAGCACATTATATGTATACTAGAGAATTATGCCAATGCATCAGTAAATCAGGCAATTATTTTGCTGGTTTTATACTTACTTCATTATGCATCAGTAAATGCACCAGGAGCTTTAATGTTTCGTGGTGACTATTTAAGCTAATGTCTGTTAGCAACTATTAGTACGGGAACTTAAGCGAGTTCACACGGAGAAATGCTAACGAACCTCTTTCAAGTTGTTCCATTGTATCTATTACTGGCTGCAACTAATTTCAGAAATATATACGGGATAACATAGACTAAGGTGCTTACTAATAATATGGAGATATCAAACTTAAGAGGTTCAAGTCCAAAAGTTCATACAAATAACTGCTAAGGCAATCCTATTGACATGAAACAAAAATCGAAACAGTCCAATCATAAATCTCATTGCAGAAAATAGACATTAGGTTCCAACATGCGAATTGCTATACTTAGAATCAAATCTCACTGCACAGTCAATCCGAATAGTCCAGTTATACAGTCCAGTTAACAGTCCAGTATTTACACACATACTACAAAATTGATCAACACTTCAATACACCTATTTAACTATCAATACACCACAGTCCAAACAGCACACTTCAAGATCAAACAGATGAACATTTGTATTCCATTTCAAGCTTAATGTTACAGCAGGGCAGATTCAAATGTGTACCTGGTAATGGCAAATAAGCAAAGGAAAAGATCAGTAGCAGTGGCAGTTTGCAACAGCAGCCCAGGAAGAAGTTGAAATCCAGTATTAACTCAATTAACACAGCAAGTTCAGGAATAATTTTAAACCAAGACACTTCACAAAACCCAGGAATACATCACAGCAACCAACACCTAATAAGTTGCCCCAACACTGACTTGATTGAACTCAAATCCTACTTGAACCAGGACTCTTCTGAATTTCAGCTACCAGAAATTGGGCTAAGAGATGCAAGTCAACCACTAATACTTGAAATTAACCTAAGAAATTGAGCAAACAATATTTTTTGGATTTTTCTGTAATTTCTGTTGTTTTTGGCTTTTGAATTTCGAAACTTCTGATTTTTGTTCTAGAAAACTGAAAGAATACTTTGGAGGAAACTTTTAGGGTCCCAGAATTGGTAGAATGCCTTGTTTAGGGGGTTCTAGATGGCTGCCCAAAAACTTTTTCTTACTCAAGGCAAATGAATGCCTATTTATAGGTGAACTTAAGATCCAATTTCAGATTTTCTTTACCCCCTTAGTCCCTATTCTAATTTCAGTGTTTACCCCTTTATTTTCTGACTTGTTACACAAGTAACTCCCTTAAGTTTATTAGAACCTACACTATAGTCCATCCTAGAAGGTTCTATGCCCATTACAATTCCTATTCTACCCTTACTTTACTTCAACAATTACCAATCTTAGTGAAACTACCCTTTTCCATGCCTATACTACCCCTTGAAATCCCCTGAAATTACTACCCAAACCCAAAGACTTTAGTCCTCTTTCTACCCTAATTGAATCCATTTGCTATGGCCAAATTCATCTAATTAACAACTAATTGAACCGGGCATTACACTGAAGTATAACAATCACTGATTAAACATATTAAACTGAAACAAACAATACACACCAGATTGATTGAAACTGATCAAAAGAAAATAGGCTAATAGTCAAATTATTGGATTATCAAATCAGCAACGACTGTTAGCTACACTAAACAGAGGCAGAAATGCTAGTCCCTATGTCAAACTATACTAATTCGACTGAACATGTCGAGTGACTCCAACAAAATTAAACTAAGTCCTAAACATGCATTCCCTAATCAAAATAAATGGAGATTACAAAACAGAATTAAACCAGATGGAGGATCAAAACGAAACAAAACGTTTGACAGGTGAAGAGAACTAAGCTATACAATTAACAGTTATCCAATTTCAGAAACAGTAACTACAGACCTAATCTAAAACCTAACATACTATTTGTAAACTAACCTAATCTTAACAGCGCAAAAAATCAAACACAAAAGGAAGAGGACTCATCTGTACAACTCCCAAAGTCGCATAGCTCTTCAGTTTCAAAATTCGACTATTTCTGGTGATATCTGAATGCTAATGATGACAAATTCCTCATGAGGGAAGTGAAGAGGTCACGTGGTAT